TCTCTCTAGCCCTTACAACACCCTGTATTTGGAGCTGCACTGTCCAGCTGTGGCACCATCAATTGTGGTCAGTTCTGATCATGGAAGAAACACGGTCAGCTTTGGGGATGTTGCAGTAGGTATGAAATTTGCATTCAAATTTTCAGGGTTTTTTTCTGTCCTTAATTTCTTCTGAGCATAGTTTTGCGTTTTCTTTTACATTTTTCAGTTGATTTTCAACAGTCGTTTTAGAAATTACCCCTGTAATAGGTCCTTAGGCTCCTGAGGCATGTAAAACAAGCAGAATTAATCCCAGCCCGTGGAATCAGGTGCTTTACAAGTGAGTGCCCAAATCTGAAAGCAGTCTCTCTAGCCCTTACAACACCCTGTACTTGGAGCTGCACTGTCCATCTGTGGCACCATCAATTTTGGTCACTTCAGATAATGGCAGAAACACAGTCAGCTTTGGGGGTGTTGCAGTAGGTATGAAATTTGCATTCAAATTTTGAGTTTGTTTTCTTTGGTCAGCTCTGGCTAGTGTATGGCTGTAGAGCTGGAATGAATGTTTGGCTCGGGTGGCAGCATGGGAGGGAAGGAGGAACAGCACTGCATGAGTGAGCACCATCACTTTTTGAAATGTTTTCCTCCCTGTCAGGTCACAGGATGAATAAGCAAATTACAATAGAAAATATCTCCCCAGAGAAGCTGGAAGTATCCTTGTCTGGAACTTGTAAGTTAATCTGCTGTTCAGCTTGGGTTTAATTTCCCCTGTATCTGTAGGAGGAGCTGTTTGACACTACAGCAGGTAGGAGGGAGCAGATTGCAGACTCAATCCACATCTTCCAGAGTGAGGCAGGAGGTGATGTGGGAATATACTGGATGAGCCTAGGTGACCTACTGGAATGCTAATTCCATTCCATCCTTTTAACTGGAAATAACTCTGCACAGAGCCAAACCTGAGAAGCACTTGACCACTTTCCAGAGAGTCTAAGGTTCTGATGGCAAAGCTGGTTTCAGTGCAGCGTGGCATACGTGTGGAACAGAACCAACAGCTCAGCTTTGACACAGTGCTTCTCTGGAGAGCTTGGAAGAAGAGGCTGCTACACTGGCCTGACTGGGCTAAGCTGTGGAGGATAATGGAGGAGATGGCATGTCCCAGATCTTGGGGTGTTAATCACCCATTCCAGCCAAAATCTGAAAATGGAGTTCCATGGAGTTCTTATTAACTGGAAAAGGATCTTGCAGCTGTTTGAACTGGGGGGAGATGATTGGATTAGTTATTCTTCTCTCTGAGTTAGTTACTGATCTCTGAAAAAGCTTATAGATGGTTAGTTTATACATCTTTGGTCTGAGCAATGCTTAGAATGTGTTCTTACATCTTTTTCCCCCACCTTTGTTTATAAAAGTTTTTTTCCTTGAGTTGCACTGCTTTAGCTAAGATTCTCAGTTCTGCATCCCAATGGCCCCTTCCTGTTGGTCAGACCAGTTGGAATGCTTGAGCCTGGTGAAAGTAAACCCCTCAGCATCTCTTTTTGTCCAAATGAGAATAAACAGGTGAGTAACAATTACAGCAGAAATGGGGAAAAGGAGGAGAGGTGGAGACATGTAATGGCTGTGTAATATACACACATTACTGACAGGATGAGGCTGTAGAATAGTCATAATAATAAAAACCTTGTTGTCTGTGCAAAGCCTCTCCCAACATTTGCATCTTTGCCTGTGCACTAAATCCAGATGTTCCTTAGTAATGGCCCATTTGTGGGAGGGGGGGCCAGTTGGAGGGCTGAGGGATGTTTTCCTGCAGCAAGTGGGCTAACACAGACATCCTCCTGGCAGTTTTTTGAAATGTTGGACATCCAGACAGCAAAAACCAATCTAAGCCTAAGTCTCATGGGTCACGGGGTGATGCCATCAACTGTTTGCTCTGTGGAAGACATACTCGACATGGGATATGTCCTGGCTGGAGAGAAGGTGACTTCCACATTCAAGGTAAATCCCTCTGTGCTGAACCAGAAATGCACAGCAGCAGTTTGTGTCTGGAGATAGAGGAGTTCTGTAGTTCCTAGCCTGGTGGAATGTAAGGCTGAGTGGCAAACTGTAGACAAAGGAACATAGCTCTGAAAGGAGGTCTGGCAGAGTGATTCGGAGCTGCTGCAAGCCAAAGGTGAAAAGCTGCATAGGGAGGAGCTTGTTAGGAGGATCTTCTGTCCTGCCTGCAGCCCACGCAAAGAAATAGAGATCCAGTACCTTCTGTGAAGAGAAATGGTCTGTGTGATCTTTGCCATAGAGGGATGTGCAGTCAGAAATGGCTTTGCTTTTACCAGCGTGAGAATTACTTGCCCTCTTTCTCTCTTCTGTCTGTTGCTGCTCTCACCAGTGGGGCTGCTCTGTGTCCACACGAGGCAGTGGCAGAGGTACATGGGTGAACTGCAAAACTGGTCCTGCAAAGAGCACGTGAGGGTCTGCTGGGGTACAGTCCGGGGGGGTCCAGCCAACTTACTCATTCATACACCACAAATTCCCACAGACCCAAACAGGCCAAGATCTATACAAAATTTTTCTGCTCTCAAATTTTGACTAGATATGTTAATAACTAAAATATTCCTTGCTGCAAGACTCATAGAAGGAGCCTGGTCCCTGTTGCTGGGGGAGGGTGCTGGTGTGACACGTTACGGGCAGCAGTGACATGTGCTGTCACTGGCATCAGGGTACACAGGGCTGCAGAAATGCAGCAAAATCAATCCAGCCAGCTATGGATCCTACAGGCTTGAGAATCAATTTTTTTTAATGAAAATGCTGTTGTGTGAATGAATGTCATCAGGTACAGAACACTTCCACGCTGAGCCTGAGGTTCTCCATCCAGCTGGACTCTCTGTCAGCAGTGTGGGACACAGGCCAGCAGAGGCTGCCCTCCTTCGTTGTGTCCTCTGCCCAACGGACTGAGATTGTTGGTAAACTTCTCTTTTTCTTTTGTTGAAGGCTGAAGTATAAAGCAGTATTGCTTTGTCCTGTTAGATGTACACAACTGTCAAAACCTGGGGTACCACATCACTGAAATTAAAGACATCATTTTGTTTGCCCAGCAGGAACTGTACTAATTCTTTCAATATGGGTAGCTGTAAACTTATGCAGCCTGAGCAAATATCCACATATAAGGAGATACTAGAGCTTGAATCTACATAAACCCACACAGTAATTGCACACTAAAGGCTGTATTTAGGGGTGTACAATCTCTGTAAAAACACACCAAACTATAGGAAGGTTTGGGGATCCCTCTTCAGTTCCTCTAGAGTTGAAGCTATTGTAGATGGATTTAGCTGGTATTTCCAACACCCTGTTTTGCTGCAAATCCATTTGTCAAGTCTTATTTATCTGCTGTCCCAACCAAAATTAAATGGGTTTAAAATATATGATGAAGTAAAATGTAGTGGTCCTCCTTTCTTATTTCTATCCTCTCTTTTATTTACCAGGAACACAGAACTACAATGGCTTAAGTGTTTTCAGCGTCTTGCCAATAGAAGGAGAAATTCTTGCTGGGAAGAGTCAGGATTTCATTGTTACTTTCAGTCCTGATCATGAAAGTCTGTACTATTCTGACCGCCTCAAGGTTGTGCTCTTTGGCAAGGTGAGACAGCTGAGATACCTGGATTATGAAATCAAAGCCTAAATATGTCCTACGGTGTTTTTTATCACTATGGGTCTTAGCAGGACTTTGAAATAGTACTTATCTGGTGGACAGCATCTGTAGGCAGAAATATGACCTCTATTATGTGAACTGAAGTAGGCAGGAGATGGCAGGTTCAGGGCTGACTTTTTTTTTCAGGTTTAAAATATTCAATTATTGATTCATAACAATGACTTGGGACTCAGTCCTGCTGCCTGCCTGGCTGCCCACACAGTGTGAGGGGCAGCAGTGGAGCCAGGGTGCTGCCAGGGTGCTGCCAGGGTGCTGGCAGGGTGCTGGGCACGGCTCCGAGGGCGCTCCGCTGGGTGGGGGCAGAGCTGCTCCTGCACAGTGCAGGCTGCCCGGGGCGCTGGGCACCAGCTCAGCACGAACAAGGGGTTCCCGTCTGCAGAGCAGCAGCTGAGCTGAGGTGGAGCCCAAGCCGGGGACACAGGCTGGCAGCATGGCAGGTGCCTCTCTGCCGTGTTCCGACAGGGACCGACCAAAAGTGAATGAAGAGTGCCAACCAATGACCGCCGGCAGGCACTGCAAGCAGACACCCGTAGTGGGAGTTACAGTTTCTCTCCTTGAAGGTTTTTTATCTCCAGATAAGTTTTGGAACTGCAGTTAATGTAAACTGGGGTAAGGTAAAGATGAATAGAAACGGGTCCTAATTCACAAACTTCAGTCGAGTTTGAGGGCAGAGGTTTTGCCTTTTAGTGGATTAAGTCTAAATAGTTTGTCCAATCCCCTCCTAAGGCACATTGCCAAAGAATGGAAGGTTGATAAAACAGAAGTGTCCGAGTGGACAAGGGGAAGATGCAGGATTCTTGCAGTACAGAGCCTCAGTGTTTATGTGGGCAGGTGGTGTAAGAATTTCTGTGCACCTGGGGCTGTTGTGTCCATATTCCAGCTGTACCTACATTTGAAGCATTCTTGCCTTCCACAGAAAACAGCCCATGTCATCCACCTAAAGGGTGCAGCAAGAGCTCATCCAATGTTTGTGGAAGGGGGAACTCCTCTGGATGTGCCCGTGGAGTCTTTGGCAGTAACATTACCTGTGTCAGCACAGGGAGCACTGAAAGGAGGTAACGTGCTGCCACCCACAGCTCATGCACAACAGGGAGGGGTAAGACCTGGGCATGTTCCTCATCCTTCAAGAAAAAGTAAATGAGAGAGAACTTTTCCAGAATCAGCACAAATAACCATTATGGTATAGGCTATATTGGTAACAAAACAAACAAACAAAAAAAGCAGGAAACTTTCTCTTAAGGAAAGATTTTCTCTTAAATTTTAATGCAGTTATATCTTAATGGTGATCTTCTATCTTTGCAACCTACCTTGCAAAAAATGATTATAACTTAGTACAACTATAAGATGTATTTGGTTTCTGCCACTTCTCTGACTCGTATTAAATGTTTATAAAATGATTTTTTATATATATATAAAAAAACCATCCTGGACTCTCTCAATTGTGCTGTTATGAAAGATATACGCTTTCAGGGGTTTGAGTTTATCATTCCTTAACTTCTTTGGACATGATCTGTCTTCAGAGACAGTATATATGTAATTTATGCTTTTAGCAAGCTGGTAATTGGTCAGATTTGACTTTCTCAAAGTTTACTTGTTTCATATTTGTTTAGAGCTACAAGAGCCAGTGAAATCCATTCTTCTGATTCTGGAGTACATCGAGGGAGAGGGTTCTCCAGTGCCAGCAACGACAGAACTGAAGGTTGGAGTCATAGACACACCTCAGTTTGCTAAGAAGGTAAAGAAAACAAAAAGTGCAGTTGTATGTCAGATGCTTTTGGGAACACTGGCAGTGCACAAATGGCTACTAGATCATTCTGTCAAAAATTCTGTCTATAAATTAAACGCACCTTTCAGGGTCTCTGATAAACTAAAAGCATCAGTGTTTGAAAACATTTTTTTTAGGGGCTAATATGAGGAATTAGCATTATTGTATTAAGTCAGCAACAAAATGAATTTAGCAGTTTGCTTCCCTAATTCTGAAATACAGAAGTCAGAGCACAGAACTGAGTTACAGGTCTGATCCTGTTACTTTAGCACAGCATTTTGTGACCACTTGACACAATGCACAGGATGGGTGCTGGGGGTTTCAAAGAGTGCAAGTGACAGGCCCCCGTGTGGGGTGCGGGCCAGGCGGGCTGTCCAGCCGGCCTGGTGTCCGGGCAGAGCTGCAGTGACGGGCCGTGGGGTGTCTCCCGCAGAAGGTGGAGTTCAGCCTGGAGGGGCTGCGGCTGCTGCAGCAGAAGGGCTTCGCCGTGGACTCGGCCCAGGGCACGGTGGAGCGCGGGCAGGTGAAGCACATCCGCGTCTCTTGGGTGCCACCTCCCGACCTCCCGGTAAGTTGCTGGTGCCGCCTCAGCTGCAGTGTGGCAGCTCTTGTCCCCGCCTGGCGGGAGCAGTGCAGGGGCTGAGCTGGGGGTGGCAGCGGTGCGGGCTGCCTTGGCACGCTGGGGTGAGGGGACACGTGTAGCTGGTGAGACTCTGAGACTCAGAGCCAGGAACAATGTGGGTGATTCGGAGGCTTGTACCTCACCAGGACTTCTGCTCATCTGTGTGATGAGGAGAACAAGCACTGGTCACTTGTGCCTTACAGAACTTGGAAACACTCCCTACAGGTCACTGCATTACAGAGCACCAGGCAGGTAAAACGCTGCTGCCCTGGCCTGAAAGATGGAGAGGAACCTGCAGAGGAAAGCTCACAGCCCTGGGGACAGAGCTGGGTTCACGTGGGTCTCTGCCACAGGGTGCACGTTTCTTGGGGCTGTGGGCTGCCTTTCCTTTGCTATGCTCCTGGAAGTCAGTGGAGCTGTTTTGGTTTTCCACTTCATGAACCCTGTTTCCCTGGCTGCTTCTGCCTTGTGTTTAGGGCCTGGGTATGAGGGTCAAACATCTCTACAGGGCTGTGGTTGCCCTGCTTGATTCATCTTTTTGGACATTCATGGAAATGGAAAGAATGTACTTCCCTGCTTTTTGTTGTGAGCATTGTGTGGGATAGCTTGTCCCAAAACTAAAAGCTTGTTGCTATCATGTGCAGAAAGAAGGCAGTGGAGCTCGTGGCATGATGTATCAGGTTGACGTTGTACCTCTTGGTAACCACTGGTTGTTACACAAGATTTAACAGTGACTGAGGGCTGAGAGGATCCATTTCCTCCCCAGCCCTCGCTGCTCTGTGGCTGCTGTGCCCAGTTGTCATGGCTGTGAGGTGGTGACGCTCTGTGGCACTCTGGAGATGGAATGCTTAGTCACTGCTACTTCACTCACTGCAGCAGGAGCACGGAGTGGAAATACAAGAGCCAAGACAGTGGGTAGAGAGACCATCTATAGCTGTAACTGGTACCTCTTACAACTGAGATGTAAAATACATAATACAGAACTTGATCAACTAATCTGGTCTATGTACAAAAAATAATAGGTTGGTTTTATGTGTGGATTTTTTTGTAGCCCAACGATCCTCTGATTGTGACAGCCATCCTGACCTTAAAAGGTGACATCAATGAATGCTACAGAATTCTCTTCACGGCAAAAGTTGTATCTGGATGTGCTCCCATTGAGGGAACCAAGCTAAACGGGAAGGAAGATGATGGCTTTATTACTTGGAAGTCACCAGATCTCTGTTAATCTCAAAAATCTTTCCATTTTTTGTTGTAAAGAGGGGAGCAGGGAAACAAGGAGAAAGGTCATGTGTAATGTTTCTGCTTTTTTCCCCAAAAAATTCTATGTAGACTTCAGTTCCACTAGTTTCATTGTCATAATCTTGTGGTAGAAGAAAGAATGAGAGCCCCAAGTAGATATGTCTGCTGCTGATGACAGTGTCTCCCAAAGGTGGGCGTGCCCTCAGGGGAAATATCTCTTTTACATCTGTATGGCTGAGTTTCAAACTATGTCTCTCTTTCCAATTTCAGATGCTTTTTAATGGATTTGGAAAATTCCTTGACTTTTTCCCTCTTTAGACCAGAATAAAGCTTCTTATTCAAGTTTCCAAATGGTTTGGACGGTCATTTTTACAATACACTGTGAAATGTTCCTGGTGACACATGGTGAAGGAGGAAATAGCCATTGTGCTGCTCACTGAATCGATGGATGTGGTTAGACACTCACTCCAGATAGAGGCTGTCCAGGAACTTTGTGTCTGTACATTTGCTTTCCTCTGAGTTCTGACTGAGAGTAGATTTCTGCCTGTTGCTGGGGTAGTCGGGGTGCCCTGCAGGTGTGACTTCTGTCAGGAAGAAGTGGCTAGGTCAGGGAAAAGCACAGAGGCACTACACTGTGCAGAACAAAGAGACCAGGAAGTTAGCAGACATCTAGAAGCATAGATGACCTTCTAGATCTCATATCACACTTTCTTGAATCCCAGTAAGTCTGTGGCCAAGTTCCCTGAGTGCCACTCCAGAGGTGTGTCACTGTGCAGCCCTGTGTGGCTGGTAAATCACTTAGTTAGGTTATGCAGTAGGAAAACAACAGACTATTTGTAACTATCCCTAAGGTAAAAGGTGTCAAGCTGGTTGGACTGCAGGAAAAAGCAAGAAAGCAAGAAATACATTAACTAGTTTCCCCCTCCTACAGAGGAAGCTTTTGTAACTGATGAAGAGAGGGGCTCCTTGTTCCATTATTTGATCCATTTAGATCTGTTCTCATTTGATAATGGATCGAGTGGCTGTGGAGTTACTTAACTCCACAGCAGATGCTGCAGCGATAGATAACCTGCCACCATGGGGGTGATGGGCTGGGGGGTGGCAGTGCCAGCCAGAGACAGCTCTGCCCTCAGAAGAGAGGCACAGCTGGGATGGTCAGGGTGAAGCTGAGGACAATGAAGTTTCTGTGCTGACTCCCTTACAGTCCTCACAGCCCTAAAAGCGAGATTAAATACCAAAAAAAGTTGCAAAAGGGAACAAAAATGATGGAGACAACAGACTGCTGGAAACAGTTCTCCTGTTAATCTAGACGACCAAGGTGAACTAAAGGTAAACACAAACTCTTGTGCTTTTGGATTGGATCTGATGCATTTCTAGTTTAATAGGAAAGCAATTCACATCTGGGTATGGTCCTTAAAGGCTGCATCATCTAGTTCCTTTCTAAAACAGAGAGGAAGGGCGAGTGTAAGTACCAGTGTCACACACATCTTATTAATACGTGTTCTGTTTATCCAGTGACTTCAGAGATTGCTTCACGCTTACAAATGCAGCTTTTCCTAAGTGAGCAATGGTCCAATGATCCTGAGCAGTCCTGCAGGAAAACAGTTCAGTCAATTTGCCACAGATATGTCAAAATGTCATTCTTTGAGTTCATCTTCCCTTTTCTCCAGCTGAAATCTTTATAATGCATTATAATTAGCTCCCCTCCTCTTCAGCTCAAGATATCTTTGTTGCTTATCCAGTCATGTATTGTGGTCACCCTGATTCTGATCATCTCTTACATGGACTAACTTCTTTTATTTTCTGTGTAACTGACCTCTGCCATAGGAGTGATTCAGAGGTGTCCAACCTCCAAGTCACCTTCCACTCGGAAGCAAAAGTAATCCTTGATTGTTCATAGGGTAGATGTCCACCTTTGGCACATTTTGTTCTCCCCTGGTGAGAGACTCTCCATCAACCTCGATGAGACCTCATCATCACTAGAGGTTTAGGATGATGATGTGCAAGGTAACCATAAAGCAACATGCAGATATTTTAATTGAATTTCTACATTTAAAAGGTTGGACACAGTTAAATTATTCAGGAGCAAACTGATCTTCAGAGAGCAGTCAGTACCTTTTCAGTCATGTTTCATGAGTCTCAACAAAACTGTTAGGGAAAATTACCTGCTTTTCAAAACCTTTGTTTCTAATATTTGTTATACCTAGTTTCTCATTCCTTCTTCACTTCTCCTTCAAAACCTGTCTGACCCGGCATAAGCACAAGGTGCTTGCTCGCCAGCTGGAGCCCTGGTGGGTTAAATTCCCTCAGGAAGAGCGCTGAGCCGCAGCCCCACCTCCGG